CAGGAAAGGCACTGGACAGTATTTCTTGATAGTAAATCATCAGAGTAATAGTTCTATGAATGAGCACTTTATTAAAGACCTCATGTTTTTATTGCCCATATTTTTATTTTGCCATTTTTATGAGGTTGGCGAGAATCTGGAGCCAAAGTGCACAAGTTTCCAGAGTCAACCCCAAGAAAAGACACTTACATAAGAGTCAGGTCCTGGTTTCCTGTTTCAGGTAGTATTATGACACGCTTCCTCACTCATTTCCTGCTAATGTCCGGAGACTCTTTTTAAAAAACTAATACTAAGAAAATTGGATGGCATATCTGCTTATTATTCTTCTTCTGCTACTAAATAATCCCTACCAACACACTCACATACAGGGAGATGCTGTGGTCATCATGCAAAGGGCATGACTGATAAAGGCAGAGCACTGTGGCGATGCGAGTTTGGTCCCAGCCTTGCCATGGGATTTTTACAGGTACTTGGAAAAAACATCACACAATCTCAATGAGCAATCAGTACTGCCACTGTGATATGGTAAATGTATAGGAAGTGAGCACACATCTACTCCACTGTAGGATAAAGTATGGTCTCTTGTTGACAGAGGTTTCTGTCCCACCTGGTCCCACGGCCACTCAGTCCCAAAGAAACACACAGATGTCTACATTAATTATAAACTGGTTGGCCTATTAGGTCAGGCTTCTTATTAATTAATTCTTACACCTAACATTAACCCATAATTCTTATCTGTGTTAGCCACATGGCTTGGTACCTTTTATCAGTGAGGCATTCTCATCTTGCTTCCTCTGTGTCTGGGTGACAACTGCAGACTGAGCCTTTCCTCTTCCCAGAATTCTCCTGTTCTGGTTGCCCACCTATACTTCCTGCCTGGCTACTGGCCAATCATGATTTTATTAAACCAATACAAGTGACAAACCTTTACAGGGTACAAGACCACTGTCCCACAGTAGTCTCTAAGCACTGTTCCTTGACAAGGAGAACCTCAGTTCTCTAGAGAATTGAGAGGTTTGGGCTGGCAACCTGAAAATTTCAAATAAGCCTAGGATATTGCCTTTGTCCTGAGAGTAAGAACATGTTAAACATGGTACAGGAGCACAAAGGCCATCTCGAAGGAGCTTCAGATACACAAATTCATAGAATTTGGAATATTAAGAAAAAAATGACTGAGACAACAAAACAATAAAAATTAATGTATAAAAATTAAAAAGAAGATTTTTATAAAATTATAGCAGCTGAACATTCATGCATTCATAGCTTTGTTCTGAGTTATGGATCACTTAAGAAAATAAGAGAGCAAAAGAGAGAGGGAGAGAGGGAGAGAAGGGGACAGGGAGGGAGAGAAAGAGAGAGCTAGTAGCTGATATAGAAAGACTTATAAGTGTATAAATTATCACTTTGTCACCTCTGAGGGGACATTTAATCAAGACAAGATTTGATGGGTGTTAGTATCCTGACAAATAAAGATAGGAATACAGAGCTTCATGGTAGACCAGTTGTCTAACATACATGAGGCTCTCAGTTCAATTCCCAGTACTACAAAAAAAAAATCAGGGAATGATGTCATAACTGTTATTCCACAGATATCTCAGATAACCGCAGAAGGGGAAAAAAATATATCATCCCACTAAAGAGATGGGAGCCAGATATAGTGGCATATGCCTATAATCCCAGCCTTTGGAAATCTAAGGCATGAGGATAGCTATGCAATTGAGGCCAACCTGGAGCCACATAGTGTTGTATTATTAGGAGCGGCGGGGCTGCATCCCCAGCACCCCGGCCGCCTGGCTAGCTTATGCCCTGAAATAACAACACACAAACTGTATTCATTTAAACACTGCTTGGCCCATTTCTATCTAGCCTCTTCTAGGCTAATTCTCACATATTAATTTAGCCCATTTCTAATCATCTGTGTAGCACTGCTAGGTGTGCTTACTGGGAAGATTCTAGCCTACGTCCATCCTGGGTCGGAGCTTCATCACGTGTGCCTCAGAGAGCAGAGCTCTCGCATCCGCCAGGGAGAGGGGAGCATGGCGTCTCTCTGAGCTCACTTCCTCTTCCTCCCTGCATTCTGTTCTGTTTACTCCTCCCACCTATGTTTTAACCTATTAGGGCCAAGCAGTTTCTTTATTGCTTAACCAATGAAATCAACAAATTGATATATGACACTCCCACATCACTATAGCAAATGCTAGACTAATATCTATCTATCTCTCTATCTATCTATCTACCCATCTGATGTGGGAGTGTCATCTATCTGTTGCTTTCATTGGTTAATTAATAAAGAAACTGCTTGGCCTTTGATAGGCCAGCCCTTAGGTGGGTAGAGTAGACAGAACAGAATTCTGGGAGGAAGAAGCCGAGTCAGGCAGTCGCCATGATTCTCCTCTCCGACACAGACGCAGGTTAAGATCTTTCCTGGTAAGCCACACCTCGTGGGGCTACACAGATTATTTAAAATGGGTTAATCGAGATGTGAGAGCTAGCCAATAAGGGGCTAGAACTAATGGGCCAGGCAGTGTTCAAAAGAATACAGTTTCTGTGTAATTATTTCTAGTAAAGCTAGCCGTGTGGAGCTGGGCTGGAACGCAGCCCACCGCAGCTCCTACAACACTGATCTATCTGTCTGTCTATCTATCTATCTATCTATCTATCTATCTATCTATCTAATCTATGTACCCATCTATCTGTACTTCTCTCTCCCTTTTCCTCTTTTCCCTCTTTTTCTCCCTCTTCCCTCTCCCTCCTCTTCCCTCTTTCTTTGCCATATGAGGCACAGAAAAAAAAATCCTCCATTTATAAACATAGAAGAAGACCTCAGCAGACCTCAGCCATGCCAGCACCTGATCTTGCATTTCCAACTTACTGTTGTTTAAGCCATACCCTCTGTGGATTTTTTTGTTTAATTTTCGTCTATTTTTGTGGCCCTGGAAATCCAACCTGAGGCCTTGCCCATCTAGACTCACATATTCTCACTGCACTGAATCCCCAGCCAAGCCTGGGGCAGTTTCTTCTAGCAGCACAAACTGTTCAAGACAAAAAGCTGATGACAATGACAGTCTTTGCTTTGCCCCAGTGCTGAAGTGGTGGATGAAAGCCAGCAGTAAGAGGATTTGCTCATGAAGAGAACTGGAAATAATGAGCAATCACCATCGTTAGTGTGGGCCCCTGTCAGACCCACTGACATTGTTGCAGATAAGGAAGGTGAAAGAAAGATGCCTCCTTCATACTCCAAGTCCACATCATTCTTAGCCTGGAGACCACCGAGCCTTCCTTCCTCATGGAGCCTCTCTGGGACACTAATCACTACCTAATCAGAAAGTTCCAGTCTGTGACAAGGGCCATAGCACTTTTCCTAGCTGAGGGCACTGGCTCACTTTAGCTTTTGAAAGTGAACGGTTATTATTAATCCAACTTTAAACATATTTAAAAGGTTATACAGCCTCAAACATATGGTGTTTATTCTCATGCTCAAACAAGCTCTGGCTAGTTGGAAAAGATCCGGCTATTCATTGTGTAAAGAGAGAGACAGAGAGAGAGAGAGAGAGAGAGAGAGAGAGAGAGAGAGAGAGAATTAAGAGCCATTCCCTGTGGTTGGTATCTCTCAGAATTACTGCATCCATATACTTGGATCCATCAAGTCTTCTAGGATTTTGTTCTATATGACAGATGACACATGAAAAATTATGTGGGATTATTCTGGTTTAAATGAGAAATGCCCCTCATAGGTTCATGTGTTTGAACACTTGGTCCCCAGTTGGTGGTGCTGTTTATCAGGAGATTCTGGAACCTGCAGGAGGGAGAGCCCTCCTGGAGGAAGGCACTAGAGGTGGGATTTGAGGTTTTATAGCTGCCCCTACTTCCTGTTTCCTCTCTTTCTGCTTCCTGTGTGTGGATGAACTATGATCAGTCTTCTTCCTGACCATCAGGCACTCCCTCCCTCCTGCTGCCAAGCTTTCTCTACCATCGTGGTCGTATTTCCTCTTGAACTGTAAGCCAAAATGAAGCCTTTCTCCCCAAAACTGCCTTTGTTAGAGCATTCTATCATAGCAACAGAAACACAACTGATGCACTTCTTCATAATGGCCTAGCTGAGACCAGTGTGTATAGTCCTTTTATTTAAAAGTAAACGTATCTATATGATACACAGAAGGTGTATTCATGTATATATGAATATGAATAGTTCCAGTAAGATATATTTTAATGTGTTTTTTAAAAAAAGACTAGAATTGCTCAGATTGTTTCTGCATAAACAAGAGAATTTACATTTGGATCCCCAACATCTATGCAGAGAGTCAAGTGTGGAGCAGGGAGTAGGGGGCGAGAGAGAAAGAGGGAGAAGAAGGAGGAGGGAAACAGAGAGAAAACACCCACTATAATCCCAAAGGTAAAGACAGAGCTCTGAGAGCCTTCTGGCCACCCAGTCTAGCCAGTTGGTGAACTCCTGGTTCAGTAAGAAACCCTTTCAAAAAATAAGGTGGAGCGAGTGAAGAAGAACCACCCCATCATCAACCTCTGACCTCCACCTGTACAAATGCAGTCACACACACAATTAAATAAAAAAAGGCACATAAGAGGCTTCCCTGGAGAACTGGGTGCCTAAGAAGAGGGAGGAGAGGGAGGAATTGTCATTTAATATCTTTTGCACAATTAAAATTTTTCATCTTTTAAACTTATTACCTATTTGTTCAAAATCTAAGACTTGAATATGAAAAACATTGTTATTATCTAATCAAAGTAAGTCATCCTGCCTATAAATCCCTTAAGCATTTTGTATTTCTTTTTTGCAGTAGAAATGCATAAATAGTATGTATAAAAAGTATCTATCAAATATAAAAAGTTCTACTTGGATCATTTACTCCACAATGCCCCCACCCCTCCTGCTGAGAGCAGCCCTTTGAAAGAGTAGCCCATAATTTCAGGGCCCTCGGGATGTCTGCTCCCCCATTACTGCTCTGTGAACACAGCACAGAGGCACCTCCAGCTCCGTGTACCTGATTCAGCTTGTCTTTCTCCGCGGCCCAGGAGGCAGCTCTTTTCTGCTCCCTGCTGACTTCTGCCGCCAGCCTCATGATCGTCTCTCTGTTAGCTTTTGCCTCCATCTCATGGACATTTATAGTCTCTTCAAGAGTCGTGATTTGTCCTTTCAGGAATGCGTTCTCCTTGCTCAGCTCTCTAAGCTGAAGAGAAAGAAATTACAGCTCTGCTAACAATGAAACGACAGACCAGCCGCCTTCTCCAAGGAGCTCACAATCTATAACCTAATGTGGTTACAAACAATAAACAATAAAAACAACAGGTACAAACAGTCACAGCTTCAAAGGCAGCCTCCAAACGTCACTATTCACAGACCTGGTGGTCAAGTTAAAATCATTCAAAGGTGGCTACAGGCAAGGATGACAGGAGGGGGGTACCGAATGCGATGTGCCAGGGGAGGGGGGGGGGGAGGACAGCCTAAAAGGATGGCAAAGGTCACTGGCCCAGAAAGCTGTCCTCAGCCCACATCCATTTGCACCTACAGTGTGTGAGGGGCTGGCATGGAGGGTGCATTGCAGAGAAAACAGAGCAGCTGTGTTTAGAAATATTACTCTAAGTAATCCTAAGCATCCTATGGAGCATGCTAAAAACGGTTGCCATGGGGGTTGGCGTTCACGGGGTTTTTGCTTTCCAGTCTGTATATTGAAAACTGTTCACTGAAAGCATTTGTAAGCCTTGCTAGGTGGTAGAGAAGCCCACTCTGTAGGGCCACGAGAATGCCTGTGAGAGGACTTGAACCCCCAGATGGCATGGTCAGCATTCGTGTTTGACCACCAATGGAAGGGGCACACCTCTTGGCCCCTGGGCCGGGTACCATTTCACAATTTGATTCTGTTCCTCACTCTTAAACACTTCCTCATATTCCTGTGCTCACTTCCCAGCATCCGGCTATGTCCCTGCCTCTGGGGTGGCACCCCAGTCTGCCTAAGCCAGCTTCCCACACCTCTGGCAACCCCATAACAATGAAAGCTGGGTGTTTCCTCTCGAGTGTAGAATTAGTCTTGTGCCGTTCACTGGCATGTCCCCAGAACAGTGCCCAGCATGTAATATTGGTTCATTAAACATTGGTGAAATGAGTGTGCGAATATCAAAGAAGTTATTAAGAATGCTTCCTGGCTAGGCGCCATGACACACGTCTTAAATCCCAGATCACAGGAGGCAGAGGAGGGTAGATCTTCTCTTTGAGTTCAAGCCTGTCTTGCTTACACAGAGAGCTCCAGACCAACCAGAGTGACATTGTGAACCCCTGTCTAAATATGGGAGATATTGGAGAAATGGATCAGTAGCTAAACATATATACCAGTCTTCCAGAGGACCCAAGTTCAGTTCCTAGAACCCAAATCAAGCAGTTCACAGCAACCTACAACTCCAGCTGCAGGCATCTGACGCCTTCTTGTGGTCTCCACAGACATGTGCACACATACACACAACCTACAACTCCAGCTGCAGGGCATCTGATGCCTTCTTTTGTCTCCATGGGCACATGCACACACCCCCACACAGGTGCATACACATCATCATCATCATTTATGCCCTGGCAATGCTTATGCATGGACAGCCCATTTATGGTGGTTCTCCAGTTGTCCCTATCCTGAGCAGTCCTAATTGCTTGTATTATTGTCATACCCAAGGTTCTACAATCTTCCCTTATGCTGTCTATCCAGTATTTTTGGGGCCTTCCTCTTCGTCTTATCCTGTGCACTCCTCCAAGCAGTGCTATCTTCGGGCATCTGCCATCATTCATTCTCAACATGGCCAAAGTATCTTCGGCCCTGTCACTGTCATATCCTGTAGTTTACTTCCTTCTACAGATGGAGATGTTTCTTAATGTCATTGTTGCACAGCCTGTCTCTTCATGTGACGCCTAGAAGTCTCCTGAGACATGCTGTCTCAAACACATTCAGCCGCTGTTCTGAGGGGTGTTTTATCGTCCAGGTTTCGAAGTTGTAAAGAAGGCAGCTCAAGACAGTGACTTGTATACTTGTAATTTTGTTGTCGTTATGTCTCCTGCTGAACAAACCCTTTCTTTCTAGTGCCTGGAATGCAGCCCTCAACTAACCCTATTCGCCTATTGACATCTGAAGTAGTTCCCTTTTTTGACCTGAGGTTCCTCCCAGATAGGCAAAGTTGACTGTGTATATATACATACACGTAACTAAAACTAAAATCTTTTTTTTAAATGCGCCTTATGTTTTACCATGTGTTTATGCAGGCATGGGAAAGTAAAAGACTGGCTTTGCCGGCATGGATTTTCTTCTGCTTCTCATAGAAATGCTTAGTAGGTACAAGATTTCCTGTCTAACAGCTCCAAATGAGTACTCTGTTTTAAAACATAGGGCCTCCTAACTTGGGGTTTAGTGAGGCCTACAGATCCTTTGGACTGGAGAGAGAGAGGGAGGGAGAGTGGGAGGAGAGGGAGGGAGAGTGGGAGGAGAGGGAGGGAAATGGGAGGAGGGGGAGGAGGTGGAAATTTTTAATTGAAAAAAAATTTCTATTGAAAATATCTCACAGGGCTAGGGAGATGGCTCCGTGGTTAAGAGTGTGGACTGCTTTTGTATCACATGGCAGAGCATAAATAAGGAATATGTGTTAACTTAAAATGTAAGAGTTAGTAATAAGCCTGAGCTATTGGCCAGCATTTGTAATTAAGTATTAAATATTTGTAATAGTAAAACTCTAAGTGACTGTTTGAGAGTGACTGAGGCACAGGAAACTCCACTTACATGACCCTGTGTGTATAGCGCCTTTAACCCGCATGCAAATACCTTTAAGATTAAATCTTCATCGGAGACTTCATCATGCTTCCTGTCTAGACTCAAGCAGTCACAAAGTTCAGTCCGAAATTCCTCATGTCTCTGGAGAGTCTCTGAGCTTTGTTTCTTAGACTCCTCATTTTCCTTTAAACACTTTCTATCAGGAAAATAACAAATAAATCAAGATTTAACATTATAGCAGATAACATTCATCAAACCAAGTCATAACTAAAGCTCTCCATGGGGAATAACCACCACTTTCAATCCGTCAAAGTGTCCCAGTGCAACTGACGGGAAGCTAAGCACTGCCAGGAAATGAGAAATACCAAAGCAACTTCAGCACACCTACAGTCTGCAGAGATAACGATACTCTCGGTGTCTGGACCTAGTAAGAGGAGGGTCAGAGTCTTTGTCTCCTGTTTGCAACTCATCTACAGACATGAAGGCAAGCACTAATCACACATAGACCCTCTGCCATATGTGTGGTCACAATCCACAAACCACAAACCTGAGGCCTCTGCTAGAGCCTCCAAGGGAGGAGAATGTCACTGTATGAATGCTAAAAGACCGCGTTTCATTTTCTTTTTAGACATTATGGGATGATCTATAATGTTCATGGTCAAGTATAGCTGATAGACACGTATACATACATACATATACATACATACATACATACATACATACATGGATCTGAAAAAGGAGATACTCCACCTGTGGAGAAAAAATATTAAAGCACCAGCAAAAAATCAATATTAACTGCCACACAGAGAGAATCTTTAGCATATTAGCAACATATGGAAATTGACAAGCCAAGGAAATGTCAGATACTTGGTGTCCGAAAGGTTTGTTGAAATAGCAATGCGTTCCCAATGCTTTAAATGCTCAGAGAGAGGTCACCAAGAAACAGACATACTCTTAAGGCAAATTAAAATCATCTCAGTAATTTGATATCATTTTTCAGTATTCTAGACAATAATCATGATTATTGCTTTCTTTTTCCCACGTTAAGTGTTTACCGCAAAAATTTTGACTCTATTCAAAGATTTACAAAGCATGTAATTGCACATACTCAAAAGCATATCATATTTCCATTTAGGAAAGTGCATTAATAAATGGCGAGTGTTGATCTATCTGTAGTTTCTGCGTGCATGAAAAGCGCAGTGCCTGCCGTGGCGCTGATAGATCTGCCTACGTGACCCCACACGTTCTCCACAAGATTTCAACATCACAGCTCTGCTGCAAAGGCCCCGAAACTATGTCCCTAGCTATTTGCTTCCCAACTCATCCAACAAAGTTCCAAGAAGCTACCCTAAGGAAATAATCACATAACTGTAAAAATGGGAGTGTCTGCAGATGTCCTGTTCTGAAGCACAATTAATAAAAACTCAGGGTCAGAAATTGGAGTTCAACCTGAAGATCCGGAAAGCAAAACAGCCTGCCACTGGCTCTTACCTTGACTTCAGTGGAAATAGCAATCCTGCCTCCTGGAATCTCAGAAGGAGACTGCATCTGAGAGCTGTCTTCCCCCGTCTTCTATTCCTCTCTAGGGCTGGTATTAAAGATGTGCACCACCATCTTTAAAGGAATACACTGCCCAGTTTCTATAGCAAGTAGTGTAGCTACTGGGATTAAAGATGTGTAACATTATGGCTACCAAGATTAAAAGTGTGTCTCATTGTGGCTACTGGGAATAATGGTGTGTGTCCTTATGGCTATAGAGATTAAAAGTGTGTATTACCATATCTGGTCTGTAAGGTTAACCAGTGGGACTGTTTTACTCTCAGATCTTCAGGCAGTCTTTATTTATAAAATACAGTTAAAATGCCACCACACTGTTCAGATTGTTTAGTAGTAAACTTTGTAATGAAACTAAGTATTTATAGGAAACAGCCAGGGAACTGGTTTTGAGTAAGCTAATCTTTTTAAAACTTGTTTATTTATATTTTATGTGTGTGAGTGTTTGCCTACTTGTATGTATGTGTACAACATATGTGCCTGCCTGGTAGCCATCAAGACCTGAAGAGGGCGCTGGATCTTCTATTACTGGAGGTATAAGCAGATGGTTGTGAGCTGCCAAACCTGCTCCCCTGAAAGAGCTGGAAGTGTTCTTCATTGCTGAGCCATCCCCCAGCTCCCAATTAAGCTACTTTAGAAATGGAATATAAAAGGCCATTAAGGAGATAAACTAAATGACTTCTTAAAACATCAATAATGTACTAGTCGGTAAAAGTACTATATTACATAGGGCAATTGGGGCAAAATCATCTGAAAGTCTATTCAAAATGTTAGTAAAATATTTTATAAAGAAAGGTTTTAGCCAGGCAATGGTGGCGCACGCCTTTAATCCCAGCACTCGGGAGGCAGAGGCAGGCTGATCTCTGTGAGCTCAAGACCAGCCTGGTCTACAGAGCTAGTTCCAGGACAGGCTCCAAAGCCACAGCGAAACCCTGTCTCAAAAAACCAAAAAAAAAAAAAAAAAAAAAAAAAGGAAGGTTTTAAGTAAATTTAATTTCTTCTTGAAATTTTTCATATTTAAAGGGTGGTTTTACAATAAGTATGATATTTATTTTATGTATCTTGTAGATAATTAATGAATATACCTATGTACTAAATTCTATCAAGGGGGCAAAAGATGCAGCAGAAAGCAAAATAAATTAAAAAAAAAATCCTTGCCTCGTGAAGCTTATGTTCTAGTTGGAAAGACTGACCAAAATATTAATCCATGTAAAGTATTATTATAAAGACTGGAGGAAATGGATCAAACAGAAAAGGGAATAGGAAATTTTTAGACATAGCACTCATGGAAGGATTCAATGAAAAGGTCCTTCTGAGTGAGTGCCTAGACTAGACATAGCCATGCTATCTAGGGAAGAACCTTGAAGACAAAGGGATAAGCAGTTGCAACGGGCCTGAGGTAGGATCATGTCTGTCCAGTTCAAGAATCAGCTAAGGAGCCAGTGGTCTGGAACAGAAAGAATAAGGGAAAGAAGAGTAACATCACCAAGTTGGTGTCAAAGTTAGTGTGAGCCGTTCTGATTGCAAAGATACTAGGTATTTACCCTAACGAAGAAGAAAAGTCACTGGCAAACTCTTAGCTGAGGACTGACATGGCCTAATTTGTACTTTAACAAGATCGTTCTGGCTGGAGATGCACTTTGCGAAAAGAAAGAAAATCATTTTTGAACTGGATGTTTCTGTGCTGCATATGTTTAATGACTTAGCTTCCATTGAGATAGTATGTATACTTGAGGCTTCTGGGAGATAATTATTAAGTCCTGAATGTGAACCCCTATGAATAAGATTAGTATATTTGGGGAGGAAATGAAAGAGGCTATCTCTCTTTCTCTCTCTACCATGGGAGAAAAAAGAAATTCCTCTTCTAACAGAAAGAGAGCCCTTATCAGGAAATGAATCAACCAGCACCTCAATCTTGAACTTCCCAGCCTCCAGAACTATGAGTAATAGATTTCTGCTGGCTAAGTCACTTGATCTATTATACTGTAATGACACCCTAAATCGCTCCAAGAATGAACTGGTATCAGGAGTGGGGTTCTGAAGTACTTGCCACAATAAGTCCAGGTGAGAGATGATATTTGGGTAACAAATGCGAAATAGTTAATATTTAGCTTTATTTTAAGATAGCTGTGAATACATTTGTTAAATAGAGAAGAATGTGAAAGAAAAAGAGAACCATGGGAAATACCAAGATGTTTTACACAATGGCTAGAGGAATGAAATTATCATCAAATTGATAAGTACAGAAAGGTATGGTGGGAACCTCAGGATATCAGCTTCAGGCACAAAGTTGCAATGTCTGATGTACATCTGAGTGGAGATGCCCAGGTTTGTGTGCCTTATGTTGTGAGAGGAGAGTCAAGCTGAATACAGAGTTGCTGCAAAATCACCTGCACCTAGCTCATACTTAAAACACGGGAGCCTAAATAACAAGGAAATAAGAAGAAAGGCATCCCAATATTTGGAAGCTAAGAGGAAGAGGAAAAACACAAAGAGAGAAAAGAAAGACAAACTAGTTGTATGCAATGTTCTGGAAGTCAAGAGAAAAAAGTGGTTCCCGGGTCAGCCGTAACTGATGCTGCAGTGGCCGGCCAGCCCTGAGCCATCACTGGTGACCATATCAAGGAATTCCAGCCGAGCAGAGCAAAGAGATAAACTGGAGACCTGGGTTCACAAAAAATCCTTAAAGAACTCCTGTAATCTAAGCTCTTGGGAGGAAAAGGAAGGAGGAGTGTGAATCCAACTCCCAGGCTACGCAGGGAGAGCCTGTCTTAAAATCAAGCTTTTTTAACAAAAACAAAACAGAAGTTTTGTTATAGGTGGAAAAGGACAGGGCCTAGAGGCTCTGGTTCATTTTTAAAGATGGAATACATAAAAATAGTAGCAACTACGTCATTTATAATGATGTTTAAAATTGAGCATGGTACGCCATGAGTGTACCATTCAGGAGGCAGGGGCAGAACAATATTAAATTCAAGGCTACATAGCAACACCAAATCCCCAAAACATATTAACATAATCCCAACACTTGGGAAGTAAAGGTAGGCAGATCTCTGTGAGTTTAAGGCTAGCCTGATCTATCATTCCAGAATAGCCAGGATTACATAGAGAGACTCTTGTCTTTAAAAAATAAAATAAAATCATACGTCGAATTTTAAAACATATTTTAGGAGCAAGCAGTTCCCGATTTTGTTTTAACAGTGACCTCTTGGCTGAACCAAGAGTGAAAACCCTGAGTTTTGTGAGTTCTTTGCATAAAATGCCAATCAAATCAAATGAGGGCTGTCTAGAGCAGTCTGGCTTCCTTGCGTATTTTAGCTATCCACTAAATACACTCCTGTGGGCTCCCTGCCACTCTAGAGTTAAGCTCTGTTTAAAGAAAATCTTGCAGCTATTCATGTGATAAGCGTTTGCGGTTCTTATTAAACAGGTTCAAACACGCACAAGACAAGCTGTGTTTGCTGAAATACTTGACGACATATGAACTCGAGCAAAGTTTCCACGACTACAAAGATATCTGAGGTCTGATTTTTCTTTTTTTCAGTTTGAGTTTCAAGGAAAAATAATGCATAACATTCAAAGTCCACTCAAGACCTGGGCTGAGATCTAAAGCCAGTCTGGCCGCTAACAAACGGGGAGTCATTTCTAACTGTCTTACTGTAATTTTTCATCCAGTTCTAGGACTTTCTTCATGAGTTCCTGATTCTCCTTCATCGTGGTGTGTGCAGACATCTCGGTTCTGAGTCTGGAAGTGGAGAGAGCTGCCGATTCCTCTTGGAGCTCCTGCACCCTGCCTCTCAGGGAGACGAGGAGAGATGATTTTCTGGCACTGTTTTCTTTGTAGTTCTCCATTTCAGCCTTCAGCTCTTGACAGCAAACTTCTTTGGAAAGCATCTTGGAGCGGAGCTCTCGAAGCTAAACGTAAAGAGAAAGTGGGGGAAGAGGCCAAAGGGGTTTAACAATGTACCACTGAAGTGCCTACCAAAGGAGTCAAAATGGTAATTGAAACTTTCATCTTTTATTCATGACCAGTCCAGTTTCATTTTCTCTTTCTTGAATTTGGATCGGCGTTACCAAATTGGAAATTATGGCTGAATAAATTCCTGACTAATAGTCATGGTCTTATCTTTTTCCAAAATCAGTTGAAGGCTGGTGTGATAGCCTCATGGAAGAGTAATGGCATAGAGTGTGAGAGACTTTGAATACCCAGTACACAGACCAAAAAAAGCTGAGCAATGTCTTAAGCCGATTTCATGCTACTCAGGAAACATTTGTGGTGGATATTACAGAAAGCAATAAAATATTTCAGAGTGGGATCCCATTTTCTCTGTCAGCATTGCTGCATATAGTGCTGATTTACAATGACTCGGGGAACCTCTAAGTCACCCTGTGATTTCACGGCCACAACTATTTTCTCAAGTAAATTTAGATGTCCGGGATACCACTACACTTCTCCTGTTTGCCTTCTAGACCACAATTGTAGGTGGTAAAAAAATAATAATAATATTCAGATTCCTGGGGGAAATATAGCAACAAAGAGAAATTACATGAAGGGAACTTTTGGACCTCTGTGGGTTCTGAAGCATCAAAATGCTTGAAGGTGTTTGCATCCTACTGAAGGAGAATGTCTGGTCTCTTGTGTGGGACCATCTTCACACACGTGTGGTTCTTTGGAACTGGGAGTGTGCGTGCATGCAGCGTCACACACATGGTATAAGTTCATCTCTCCTCTGGTCCCTGGTGCCCTCAGTGACCCTGTTAGTTACAGGCTGGACCCCCCACCACCACTGCCCTGGGAGCAGAATGAGTCCAGAGAAGCTCTGAAACTCTGCTACACTAGCCGTTCTTGGAATTTGCCCAAACAAACAGAGCTCTCACATGAAGAGAATTCAGAATTCCTTCTATGAGCTTTGAAGTACAAGCAATCCATGTTAAGGGAAGACATTCTGAAGGAGACTTCAAGTCCCCCAAGGCCCATGCAACTTTAACCCATCGTCCTCAGGTGTCCCCAGGTTATACAGACTTCACCGAAATCTAAAAGCCAGCATGGAGTCGGAGGTGCTAAGCACATGAGAAAGTCTAGGTCTAAACTTTGTCAACAGGCAAAATCCCTTGCTCACTATCCTGTTTCTAATCCTCAGCCACCATTTCAGTGTGTGAAAGGCTAAAAGGATGACCTTCTGGGCGATGGGATGTGTACAGTGTCTCACCTCAGACTGAGCACATTCAAATTTGACCAAAGTTGCTGCAAGTTCACTTTGAATGTTTTCAGCCATAGTCCGGTAGTGATTCAGCTGTTCCCGGGTGACTGGAAATTCCATGGGTTGATTGGCAGTTTCCTGGTAAAGGTTCCCCAAAAGACAAAGCATTAAAAGGAGTGTTAGACGGTATGTCCTCTGAGGTTGTACAAAGACATCTCAGAGGGAAGTTTTCTTTGTATTTCAAATGCATAGAAAATGCTACCAAGAATGTGCTGTGTGGCTAGTTCTTAAAGTTGAAAACAAAGTAAGAGGCAGCCCAAGAAATAATGATGCACACACTCCATGGTAGAGAGATGAGGCATTCGGGTACTATGGCCAACACCTATAATCCTAGCACTCAAGAAGCTGAGGCAGAAGGATCGAGAATGTGAGGAGGCCAACTCATACAACATAGAAAAACCCTATATCTTACAAGAAAAGTATGAGAAAAATAACATGACTGCTCAGTAGTAGATGAGTGATGCTTTGGGTTGGATCTCCAATGAAAGAAAGAAAGGAGGGAAGGAAGGAAGGAAAAAAGAGGAAGGTTAAAAAAAAAAACAGGCATAGTAGCACTTGTGGGTTGGAGGCAATAGGATCCGGACTTCAAGATTAACATTGACCACTTAGCAACTTCAAGGCCAGCCTGGGCTACATGAGACCCTATCTCACAAAGCACAAAACAAAACAACAGAACCTAGATGAGAGCTGATGTGGGGTGGTAAACGGTACCATCCCATGAGCTGGGGTCATAAACTTAATAAAAATGAGCAAGCTTCACTCTAGGCTTCCTGACTGAGGGTGCAGAGTGACAGGTGCCCCATGCACTTGCCACTATGCCATCCTGGTCACGATGGGCTGCACCCTCAACTTCTAAGCCAGAGTAAACTCTTCCTTCCTTCCATTGCTTACCACAGTCATGAGAAAAAAATGACTAAAAGAGACATATGTCTATACCCACCTCTGTGAATTCTCCAGGCTCTGTGGTCTTTGTGGAAGACATGGAAGAAAACCACTCATTTGTGAAGGAGCATGGAAGAGGTCACGGAAAGGAAAATTGCATGGAATACCCCTGTGCCTCAGAGGATATGTGAGTAAAACCACTAACAACTGCCAGAGACTAGACAGTGGCCAACCGCCCATGCTTAACACATTCATGAACACACGCGCGCGGGTACACACACACACGTACACACACACACACACACACACACACACGCACAAGTCACCAAGCAGCCCTGAACTGAACAACAAACATTGCCATGGCCTGGGTGTGGCAATCCACAAGATGTCAAACAAAACCTCCAGGACCCTTAGTGACAGCCAGAGCTTGCAGTCACAACACAGTCAAGGTGGCTAAATCCTCCTGGGGAGAGAGCAGAAGAGGTTGAGTCGAAGCTCTTAGTGCCGGGGTCACTCCTACCATCCTCATTCAGGATTCAGATGAGCCCACTGACCCTCGCCACCATGGCTGCACTTCCCACATGAGGTCATGAGAGCCTGAACTGTCCTCAGGAGAGGTTTCAACCTTAACGTACACAGCCCACCATTTAATAAAAGTTTTATTAGGAAAATAAGTTCCCCAATGGCTATGATCTCTTTCAACAACAAAGCACACATCACTTAGGTAGTGATGTAATTATTTCATAGTCTTTTATCTCCTAATAAAAATGCAATGTGCCCACAGGATATAATATTAAGAGCCCTATGGAACAGTTCAGAAATAGCCCTTCATCTTAGCAGCTCCTGGCCTAAAGCAGGTCTGTATCAAAAGGATTAACACCTTCAGGTGTTCATGGCTGGACAAGGATGTATTCTGGTTAAAGCAGGGCTCTGGGTAAAGTGCTCCATGTGGTAAGCTTACCAAACTTGTGCAAAGCCTTGTGTCAATCTCTTGCACTACCAAAGCAAACAAACACCCACAGCTCAACTTCCCAGCTATTTCCCCTTGAAAACCATTTATCTGAGTACACAGAGACATGCATAAAGATAATTATTACTATTCTGTGATTTCTAATAACAGCAAAAGGGAAGAGGCTATTAGAGCAATGCGAACTCCTGTTCATGTGACTCCTGTTCACACAAAGGTCTCCTAAACTGAAGAACCTCACAACACAGCAAATAGGAGGCAGATCTACGTCAGAGCATTATTGTTTCCAAGAGACATCACTGAACAAAGCCAAAAACGTATAGAGCTACAATCTGATGCAGTGTTCATAAACCAAAAGGAAAAATACCACTATGTGTGTTTCCTATAGGTACACCTGAACAAATCAAGGTGAGCGGAGCACCAGAACACACATGCCTGATGGCAATAAAGACCCCCAGCCGGGGAACCAGTGTGGAACGTGGAGTAACAGTACAACGGCTTAGTTATATATCATTTGTATAATTAAATATATGTTTTAAAGTGCTGGCAAGAAATACTGTGGTTCTTTTCGTCTTCCCATATTTTCCAGGTCCTTTGCAAGGACTATACATTACTTTCATGATCAGAATTCACTTCCTCTGTGTAAGTTTTTTTTTTCCTTTTATTGAAAATACATTTTTCTCACATACTATATCCTGATTACAGTTCTCTTCCCTCTACTCCCACTCTTCTTCAACTCCCCTCCTGCCTGGATCCACTCCCTCTCTGTCTCCCCCTGGAAAACAAATAGGCTTCTAAAGGATAGTAATAAAATATAGCAAAATTAAACATAATAAGATAAAACAAAAGCTGACACATTGGAGTTGCACAAGACAAACAGAAGGAAAGGAGTGCAAAAGAAGGCACAAGAATCGAAGACCCACTAGTTCACACACTCAGGAATCCCATAAAAAAAACATCACTAAACTGGAAGTCATAATATCTACCCAAAGGACCTGGTGCAGACCTGTGTATGCCCAGTGCATGCTGCTTCTATCTCTGGGAGTTCATATGAACTTCAATCACATTGATTTAGAGGATTTGTTTTCACCACATCCTCCATCCCCTATTGAGTTTTTTTTAAAGGGACAAGCATAGCTAAAATAGACTATCCCTGCTGTTTATCTATGAGGACCACAATGCCCAAGAGGAGACTGTGGTAGCACAGACTGGAACTCAGGTGGAAGTTGATATTCCAGAAGGGTTTTTTTTTTTTAATCAAGCCCTCTTGCAGCTTTTTTTAAATCCCTCAACTTTAACTGTAAGTATTAAACAATATTCACTTCATTTTTTTTTTCACTCTATCCACACTGGCAAAATTAAGGTCTCATCCATCTGTCCTCCCACGTGGACAATTGAAGCCATTAGGTACCACCCAGCTAGCCCATGAAGCAATTTTATATTAATTTTGGAGAGCCAACTACATATGATTGGATTTTGCTACTGATACTATTATAATAATGAATGAAATTGCCTTTCGGTGGCTTGTAGTCTTTTCAGAATAAAGGATAGTTTCGAAGTTCAGTGCCAGAAAGCAAAGAGAAGCTCACTCATAATTTAATACACAATGTGCCCAGTTATCTGACCTGTGGACAGTGTCTCGGGCCAGTCTTGCTACTACAGTGCCTAGCTGTCTTATTATCCCATGGACAAAAATAAAAAGGAAAGGAGGAGGAGGAAAAGAAAGAGAAGGAGGAAAACCACTGCCAGTATGGGACACACAAAGGCTCTAAGTTCATTCTGTTCTCATGGGTGGGTCTCAAAGCCATTCTCCCTCTGCTCCAGCATCCATAATGTTCAACTGAATTACCACACTCTTCCATTCCATATATATAGTATATATATATATATGTATATATTATATATATATTCAATAATATATATTCAATATATATATCTTTCTCTCTCCTAATTCAATATACCCATTGCAGAGAATACACTATTCTAGAGCTCTTTACAATGACCTATTAGTAGGGGCTGTCCTTAAATCACTACTTAAAACTGAGCAAAGTAGGGCTGGAGAGATGGCTCAGAGGTTAAGAGCACTGACTGCTCTTCCAAAGGTCCTGAGTTCAATTCCCAGCAACCACATGGTGGCTCACAACCATCCGTAAGGAGATCTGGTGCCCTCTTCTGGCCTGCAGGCACACATGCAAACAGAATACTGACAATATTGTATACATAATAAATAAATAAATATTTAAAAAAAAAAAAAAAAAAAAAACTGAGCAAAGTAGCTGGGCGGTGGTGGCGCACACCTTTAATCCCAGCACTCGGGAGACAGAGGCAGGCAGATCTCTGTGAGTTCGAGGCCAGCCTGGTCTACAAGAGCTAGTTCCAGGATATGCTCCAAAGCCACAGAGAAACCCTATCTCAAAAAAAAAAATTTAACTGAGGAAAGTAAGGACCCAAAAGAAAATTATATTGACATGTTTTAAAAAATAAAACCAATAGTAGGAAGAGGGAGGGGGGAAAAGGGGAGGAAGAGGGGAGCGAGGAAGAAAGAGAAGAAAAAACACAATTTATAACAATGGTTGCTTTTATGTGCCATATACGTTCAATGTATTCTTTGTGAATTGGTGTATTAAAGGTGGTAGTCACTTTGGCGTGTACTCTGCCCCATAGCCTGTCCAGTTCTATGCAAGGCTTATGGATCATAATACTTACTACTACAGGAAATAGCAAACTTTTGTCTATCCACAAGATGAGAATCTAGAAGGCAGTTAAAGAACCAAACTAACCCTGACAACAATCTATAAACATTTATCCTTAGACCCACAGTGTCTTTAACTCATCAAAGAAGCTTCTCCTTGCAACAGATGGAGACCACTACAGAAAGCCACAACCAATCAAAATGCAGAGCTGTGGAGCCCAGTCCCAAAGGACTACAATTCAGTCCTGTACGTAAAGCTCAGGGAACATGCAGAAGACGGGGCAGAAAGAGCATTAAGAACCAGAAGACCAAGGACTGTGCTGTGAGATTATGTCTTCTAGCAACCAGAAGCTGCTCCTGTAGAGTCTCACCAACATGACTGCCCAAAGGCTAGCTGAATGGAGGACACCAGTGAACACACCAGACTGCCTGGGAAGAGGCCACGACACCTCAGCCTAACACAAAGAACTACAGGCAGCTGAGGGAAGCTGGGAGCAGGAGAGGTGGTCTCCCCCAGTGCCAAATAGTCAGCCATGC